TTTTAAGATTTATTTATTTATTTATTTATTTATTTATTTATTTATTTATTTATTTATTTATTATGTGTACAGTGCTCTGTCCACATGTGTCCCTGCAGGCCAGAAGAGGGCACCAGATCTCATTACAGGTGGTTGTGAGCCACCATGTGGTTGCTGGGAATTGAACTCAGGACCTCTGGAAGCACTGCTAGTGCTCTTAACCGCTGAGCCATCTCTCCAGCCCACGTGATGTGCTTTTAAAAGAATGATACTCCCTGACTTCAGTCCCAACTCAGAATATCTGGGGATAAGGCATTCTTAGCAGCCTTTCATGCCCAAAGACTTTTTTTACACAGCTTAAGCTTTGAGAACCAGAAATTATATGTATTTATGTACACATAATTTACTCTATATTTATATAAAACACATATATAAAACAAGTTTATATATATATATATAAGAGTAAATATAAAAAAATATTTTTACATTGCTGTTGTTCAACACACAAAAAAGCATGAAGTAATCAAAACTCAGATTTGACACGAAACAAGTGATTGGCATTTCTTACCTACTGGGGCCTGTCCTTTAGCATTTTAACTAAAAAATGACTCCATTCCGTGGAGTGAGTTGTGCCATCCTGCAGATGGACTGCCACCACTGAAACTGTTGAAGATGAATATCTTACCCTCTCTTTCACATTGCAGATGGACGCCTGCTTTTTGACCAGGTCCCTATGGTTGAAATGGATGGAATGCTGCTGACACAGTCGAGAGCCATCCTCAGCTACCTTGCCGCCAAGTACAACTTGTACGGGAAGGACCTGAAGGAGAGACTCAGGTACCTCAGTGTTCATTCCTGTTCTAGATTTTAAACCAAGCTTCTGGGGTCTTATACCAAGCGAAACCTGATTTGATTGCGTCCTTCAACCAGAACTGAAGTGGGGAAGTAAGAATGAAGGGGAGGTGCTGTTGCCAGAGGCGTCATGCCTTGTGCAGAATTCTGTGCACATATTTCTACACTCCCTTTTGTATGTAACTCATACTAGTCAGCTTATAGTATTCTCATATTCATGCCTAGCAAACTGTGTTCTCAGGAAATGACCTAGTAAAGTATTTTACATGAATGTGCAAGTGACTGATTCAGCGAACAAGCCTTGAACATTGTAACGATGATCTATTTTGCTATCAACTTGAAAGAGATTTCAATTAGCAAGCACTCGTCTCTGGGTTTCTGGGTGGCCGCTATCTGACCTAGGCTGGACTTACCCCAGCTGGACTCACCCATAGCCAGGCAGCTCTGGATTTGGGTTTTGTAAATTGTAGGTTTGGGGAGGAATAGGCCATGTGACTCCATAACTGTCATTCTAATCTTCTCGTGACATGTAGACAGAATCCTAAGAGTGGAAGAACAGAAGTATCACAAGCTCAACCCAGAACTAGTCCCTCATACTTCCACCTTATTCATTAGCCAATCACAAGGTCAGCCTGGGAAAAAGCCCCCCCTGGAGGATGAAAAGCTGTAGGGTTTTTTTATTGTTGTTGTTTTGTTTGTTTTTGTTTGTTTTTTGCATCTGTAAACCATAGATATCTGTTCTGTTAGATGCTGTGCTGGAATGGCTAAGGATAGTTGTATTATTATAGTTGCATTATAAATAGTTTGGTTTCATGATAGATAAGTAGACTTAAGATGGAAGAAAATACTTACAATTATAAAATTTAATCTAGATTTGGGCTCCCTAAAATCTCGTCATGGCAAACATGGATGCGGTAGAGTGGTCAGTATGGATAGAAGATGCAGTAGTGGAAAACTCTAAGTTCCATTACTTAGAAAACTAAGAAAGAGCATCACATGGGAACAAGCAAAGCTCAGAGGCAGCAGAGTATCCCTACATTCCCACACCTTCCCCATTGAAACAGATGGCAGGAGAAGCAATTCCATGGCCTATAAATACTGTGCATTTTCACTGTTTTGATGTATACTTTTTATTAAGTGTTTTTAAATCTCTAAGTTTTTTTTATAATCTCTAGACCATCATAATCCTACTCTGTGACAAGTCTCAACGTAGAGGCATCTATTACCTTTCATACATCCTTTCATTCAATAAACATTTTCAGAGCCTCTACTATATCGCCTGGCTAGATCTGGTTCTGGAAATCATTCCTGAGAGTGGAAGATTTTGCGGAGAATCAGACACCATTTGTTAACACTATGCATCCTACCCAGGGTTGCACTAGGAAGCCTGCACTTGAAGGTCCCATTCCAATGGGAGTCTATGGTGTATTTTCAGGATTGACATGTATACTGATGGCACCCTGGACCTGATGATAATGATCGCCTCTGTTCCATTCAAACCCCCTGAGGAAAAAGAGGAGAACTATGCTTTAATCGTGAAGAGAGCTAAAACCCGTTACTTCCCGGTCTTTGAAAAGGTAAGCTTGTATATTTCCCAATATGCAGAACATTTAAGAATGAGTGTTCAAAAAGATATGGGTACCAGTGGGTGAAAGCACCTGCTGCTATCAGGACTGAAAACTTGAGTTCAATCTTGGGGACTCAGGGTGGAAGGAGAGAACCAACTCCTGGAAGCTGTCCTCTGGCCTCGTCATGCATGCCATGGCAAATGCACCCCCACCCCATACATAGTCACACAAAATAAATAAAAATATAAAAAGACAGGGTGTATCAGAGCTTTCCTGCTGTAGGGTCTGTGGTGGTTTGAATGAGAATAACCCCGATAGGCTCATATATTTGAATACTTGATCCCTGGTTTATGGAACTGTCTGGGAAGAATTAGGCGGTGTGGTCTTGTTGCGGGAGGTATGTCACTGGGCTGGGCTAGTGAGCTCTCTCTGCCTCATGCTTGGGCTTCAAGATGTGAGCTCTCACCTGCTGCTCCAGCACCATGCCAGCCTGCTGCTGCCATGCTCTGCCACGGTTGTCACAGACGCTAATCCTCAGAAACTGTAAGCCCCCAATAAACTCTTCCCTCATAAGGTGTTTTAGTCATGATGTCCTAGCATAGCAGTAGAAATGTAACTAAGACAGGGTTAAAACTTCTTTTGTTTTTTTGTTTTTTGGCTTTTTCGAGACAGGGTTTCTCTGTGTAGTATTGGAGCCTCCTGGATCTCGCTCTGTAGACCATGCTGGCCTCGAGCTCACAGAGATCCACCTGCCTCTTCCTCCCCAGTGCTAAGATTAAAGGCTAACCCACCATCACCCAGCAGGTTAAAACTTTTAAAAGAAGTGATTTATTTTTTATTTTATGCGAATGGGTGTTTTGCCTGCAAGTATGTCCATGCACCTCATGGATGCCTGTTTGGTGCCTGTGGAGGCCAGAAGAAGGCATCTGATCCCCTAGAATTGGTTTCAGGTGGTTGTGAATCACTATGTGGGAATTGAACCCAGATCCTTGGAAGAGCAAACCATGTTCTTAACTACTGAACCGTCTTCTTAGCCCCTAGGGTCAAACTTTAATAATATGGATTCCACAACAAGTTAAAAGGAAAATTATAGAATCTCTAATCAAACAATTTCTGTTCTGTTTTTTTAAAGACTCAGTAAGCCATTAGCCCAAGGTGTCACCATCTTGAATTCACTGCCTAGTATTGGAGGCTAACTGTGCCTTAATTAAAAAAAAAAAAAAAAGACAAAAGCTTTTAAATTGGAGACTTGTGCAGCATTCAGTGGAAAATGCTAATGAAAAATGTCTTCACCGCCCATCTTGGGAGGTTCCAAGCCTCTAGGGCAGTGTGTAGAATGGTAAGGAAGACCCATCAGTGCAGGTCCCACAACTAAAGGTTCTGTAGGATATTGTGTAAACTACAGTACGGAGCTCTGTCAGTCTTCAGTGCTCTAGATGAGTTCTGTTGATCCACGGACAATGTCAGTGTTACTGAAGCACCTTTCATTTAAAATGTCACACAGTTTAGTCTGCCTTAAACTGTAGATTTTAAACCAGGCAGTCTCTACCCCAATTCTTCCCAAAGCATTTAAAAATAATTTGTTTATTCAAATCTGGGTCAAACTCAACCTTACAGTCCTAATTAGAAAACACAGGTTTCCCTTTATCTGTTAGGTCCCCTCCTTGTCTCCCCTCCTCTTCTTTTCTATTGCATTTTTATGTGGTTTCCTGGGCTGGATTTTAGTCAACACAACCTACTCCTCTGTTCCCGAATGTCCTGTGATCTGGAAGTTAGAATTCTAATCTTGATTGGACTCAGGTCCAATTACTTGGCCCCCAGCATACTGCGTAGATGGCATTCTGTAAGTCATCAAGGAGCACACGTTGTCTGACTGTTGTTCTTTGTACAGTGTTAATGCAATAGACAATGTCAGCACACAGACTTATTAGTACGTGTGAAATACTGACCTCTTTATCTATCTATCTATCTATCTATCTATCTATCTATCTATCTATCTATCCTCTATCCATCCATCTATCATCTATCATCTATCTATTTGAGACAGGCTCTCATACTGTACCCTAGCCTAGTATCATACTTAACTATGACTATAGTCCAAGCTGGCCATGGCCTCATCCTCCTGTCTCCTTCTAAGTACGTGATTCCACCTCTCTTCATTCATTATATAGAATATTCTCTACACAAAGACTCTCCCAAGCCAAGTGCAACAGGGCACTCCTGTATGTAGGTGGACTTTTCTTTCCTGCCCGCCAGTTTCCAAATAACCAACATGGATATACTTAATATTAACTATAAATGCTCAGTCAATAGCTCAGGCTTATTAACAACTAGGTCTTACAACTTAAATTAACCCATTTCTATTCATCTATGTGCTGCCACGTAGCTCATGGCTTTACCTGTCCTTCAGCATGTCTTGCTCCCTCTGCATCTCCTGGCAACTCTTCTGACTCCGCCCTTCTTTTTCCTAGATTTCTCCTAGTCTGGCTCTCCCAGCCAATTTCTTCCTGCCCAGCTATAGACTAGTTAGCTCTTTATTAACCAATGAGAGTAATACATATATACAGTGTACAAAGATTGTGCCACAGCACCTGTATTCTCAGAACTTTGGAGATAAGACAGTGGAGAACACAGATCTTTCTCCTTTATGACATACTTAGTTACTCTGGAGTGTGGTTTATATAAGCAATGAAGAGAAATGCTTTCTTTTTATTTAGTAATTAAAAATAATTACTTAGTGTACTCAAAGAGGAGAATTAGTGTGTTATTAGTATTATTATAAGTAGCACCATGATACTATTTTCTATCCAAGATTTCAACATGTTTGTCTTAGTCAATGTTCTATTGCTCTGAAGAGACACCAAGACCATGGCAACTCTTATAAGGGAAAACATTTAACTGGGGCTGGCTTACAGTTTCAGAGGTCTAGTCCCCATCATGGTGGGGAGCATGGTGGAATGCAAGCAGACATGGTGCTGGAGAAGTAGATGAAGAGTTCAACATCTGGATCCACAGGCAGCAGGAAGAGAGAGACTCTGGGTTTTGAATGAGCTTTTGAGACCTCAAAACCCACCCCCAGTGACACATTTCCTCCAACAAAGCTACCCCTCTTAATCCTTTCAAATAGCGCCACTCCCTGATGACCAAGTATTCAAATCTACTCGCCTATGGGAGTCATTCTCATCCAAACCACTACAATGTTTATTGTGCTTAGTTTGTTTCAAGATCTTATTCAGAAATATAGAGTATAAACAGAAACTATGAGTATTCCTCATCACCAAAAGATAAGTGCAAGAATTGGTTTCATATATTTCCACCCAGTTTTTAAAAATATAAATAGAAGTGTTTTCTTTTCATTTATAGATAATTATAGTTACATTGAAGTTACTTAGGCTACTGTTTTATCACTTAGAAGATTTTTCCAAAGCAGAATTTCTTGGTAACTACTACTTGGCATTAACAAATGTCAATACTGCTACTTTCTTGCTTAAGACCTTTTTTTTTTTCATTAAAAAAAAATATTTTATATGTATGAATATCCTGCCTGCCTGCATGTCTGTGTATCATGCATGCATCCAGTGTCCATGGAGGCCAGAAGAGAGTGTCAGATCCTCTGGAACTGCAGTTACAGAACGTGCATATGCTGTCACTCACTGAGTCACTTACCAGACCCTTTCCCAAGTTCTTATATGTATTTATTCCCTCTTTGTGGCGTTAACCATATTTTATGTATTGCTACTCAAAGCTAACTCTGTTATCTTTTTATATTTGCTTTCCCTTGGGTGCTGAAAAATTAACTTTTTGCAGGTTTGGCCTTCTAATTCCATCGGTGACTGATTTTGATTTGTGTTACAGCAGCTGGGCTCTCAATAATTCTAGCTCCCATGTGTCCCTGTACTGGTGGGTACAGTTTTCCTTTACTTCCTCCACACTTTTCAGAAAGTGTCAGTCCTTCACCACATAAGGGTCTTTATAATCCCTGACTCATTCCCAAAGGGATCACATCAGTTCATGGTACGTGCAAGAGGGTTGGCTTCATCCGTTCTTGCTAGTTCTGGAGATCACTTTCCAAAAAGAAGACTCCTCAGTGAGGCTCATAGTACAAGCATTCAAACAGGCAAAGCATCACTACTTCCATTCAAACATGTTTTTCTTTTCTGTAGATTTTAAAAGACCACGGGGAAGCTTTTCTTGTTGGCAACCAGCTCAGCTGGGCAGACATTCAGCTGTTAGAAGCCATTTTGATGGTGGAGGAACTCAGCCCTCCCGTGCTGTCCGACTTCCCTCTGCTGCAGGTAGGATGCTCATCGGCGCAGACGCGGAGCCCAGGGCGATGCAGCTGGAACAATGCCCGCAATAATACGTGTCTCCAAGCCAGACTTAAAACTTAAGAGAAACTGTCTCAAAAAGCATTGTTTTATTCACTCTGGTTACTTAGTCACACTTACATTATAGGATCTGTTAGGGAATGAAACTTTATATGATGGGAAAACAGATATTTGAGGTTCTAATAGGAACATTTAAACTGCTGGGGTATGTAGCTCAGAGGCTGAGTACATGATCCACATGTATGAGGTCCCAGATTCAGTCCCTGGTTGTTGCAAAAACAAATAATGAACATCCAGGACTTTCTTATTTTTTATTTTTTTCAGTACTCTTAAAGTTGTTACTTGCAACAGCTGTCTTGGTTTTTTCATCCTGGCTCCTATCAGATGACGGTGTCCGCTTTTAATGGTCCTGATGCTGGGTCAGCTCTCGGTTACATTGCCTCAGCTTGCGCGAAGCATCCTACCATTGCCACACTTACTTGGCCCCTGCTCTAGCTCCCCATATTTCTCTCAGAACCATTAGGTTTTGTCTGTTAAGAACAATGTTTTCCTTAGTTTCTCCACATGTGTCCTACTGGGTAGACAAACCACATTTAAGGCAGGTCCCATGCCCAGCAGCAGATGGCCAACACAAAACAAACTCAATGGTTGTTTTGGAGTTTTTTTTTCTTTTTACCTTACTAGTCTTTTGCCTATATATTATGGTTTCCAATTTTGAGTTTTTATGGGTTTTGTTCATGTGGTGTGCATGTATATGTGTTTCTCCTGCTCTCTCTTTGTTTTTTTTCCTTTGTTTGTTAGTTTGTTCTTTTTTGTTTTATTGCTGTTTGTTTTTTATTTGCCTTTTGTTTGAGAGAGAGAGAGAGAGAGAGAGAGAGAGAGAGAGAGAGAGAGAGACAAGGTGTAGAGTTGGATAGGTGTGGAGGATCTGGAAGGAAAGAGGAGAAACCACAATCTGAATATATTATGTGAAAATAGCTTTATTTCCAATAAAAATTTTTAAAGGGGATTAGTTATCATTTTAATGTGAAGAGTTTCAGGTACTCTGAATTATAAATTAAAATGTGCATTGTAAAAAAAAAGAACAGCATTTCTTCCTTCTTGTTACAAAAGAAAAGGTATGTTCGTGCACCTACACTATCTAAACCAAAAGGTGAAAAAGACCTCTAATCCTACAAGCCAAATGTTATATACCTATCACTTTGTATTTTTCCTAAAAGAGGATTATACTAAATATTGACTTTGTGGTCTGTTTTTAATGATCTTTTCAATAACCATGAATATATCTGTATGTCAACAAATATTCTTCGATGGTATAATATTTATTTTCATTGAGCAATAGAACCATGCCATTTAAAACAAACAAACAAACAGAGCAGAGCCATATAAAAAAGGCACAAGTTGAGAAACCCCGTCTCTATAATGGCCCCGTCTTCCTGTTCCCATTGTCGTTTTTTCTAGTTTCTTGTGTGTTCTCTCGGTGTTCCTATTTATGAAGACATGAGCAAATTTGCAAATGTATTCTTATCCTGGCTACAGTTTTCTTACACAAAACATGGAGTGGAAGATACTCTTTTCTGTGCATGTGTGTCTATGTGCCACATGTGTACAGATGCCCTCAGAGGCTACAAGAGGGAGCTGGGTCACCTAGACCTGGAATTACACATGGGTGTGAGCCCACACACCGGTGCTGAGAATCAAACCCAGGTCCTCTGGAAGAGCAGTCAATGCTCTTAACCACTGGACCAACTCTCCAGTCCCTTTGTTTTTATCTTTGTAAACAAAAAATGCTTTTGAGATATATTTCTCCATCTATCCATTTAGATAACTCCCCTTTCCTTTCATATGTTATATTTAGAGTTCCTGGCTTAAATGTCCTATAAGAATTTTATACACACTTTCATACACACACATGCAGACACATGAATCCCCCTGCACACACATGTGATTGGCATGAAACCTATCATTTTGTATTTTCCAAAAAATAGAATTAAACTAAATACTGTTCTGTGGCCTGTTTATGAAACTTTCTACAGTAATCATAAAATATTTTCATGTATGCATTTTTATATATGTAGCCATTTCCCTTTTTTATTTACTCTGTTGCTTTAAATGCACTTTTATGAAATTTATTTTTGACAGGCCCTTTCATGTGTATAATACTTTCTGATTACTCTCATCCCTGCCCTCTCCCATCCCTCCTCTGTCCTCATCAACCCTCTCCACAAGTCCCTTTGTTTTACTTTGTGACCACCGAGTTTAACCAGGGTCATCCCCATGAGCATGGGTGTGGGGCGGTCCACTGGAGCATGGGGGGCTCACCAGCAACCACATAACTGAAGACAACAATCCCCCTCCCCAAGCATCTATCAGTCCTCTACCATTCATGACTGACTGTTGACAGGGACAGCCCCCATCCCTTTATTTATTTATTTTTTTAGATAGGGTCTCACTGTGTAGCCCTGGTTGGCCTGGAACTCCCAGACTTCCACTTGACTGTGCCTCCTGAGTGCTTGGATTAAGGGCATGTGCTATCACACCTGGATCACTTTCCCTTCCATTTTTAAAATTCTTTTTTTTAAATGCATGTTTGCCTGTATGTAAATCTATGTACCATGTACATGCAGTGCCCAAAAGAAGACAGAAGAGCATATTGGATTCCCTAGGACTGGAGTTACAGATGGTGGTGAGCTGCCATGTGGGTGCTGGGAATTAAAACCTGGTCTTCTGGAGGAGCAGCCAGTGCTCTTAACCTCCGAGATGTCTCTCCAAGCTTCAGTCATTTTCCCTGTTTTGAAGACACAGGTTATTTACAAATTGCCACTTTGTTAGGATTCTTCTAGCAATTTCTGTTTTTTGTTGTTGTTTTTTGTTTTTGTTTTTTAAATTCTATGTGTCTTCTACATCACGTATCTTGACCCTATTCATTTCCCTGACCCTTCCCATCCAGCCTCCGCCCCGGCACACCCCTCAAATAAAACAAAATTTAAGATAAAAAAAGAAAAGAAAATTTAAAAAGGAAAAAAAAACTTAAGAATCTCATCCTGGAAGCTGCAGTGTGACACAGTGGGTCACACCGTGAACTTCTTTGTCCGTTCATCTTTCTTTGCAAATGGTCATTGCAAAGAGTCATTGGTCTGGTTTGAGGCCTCTGGTTTCTACTACCCTGTCGATCGATACTGGGCCCACTCTAGGGTTCCTCCTGGATATCCTGTTGTTGCCCTGTGTTGTGGAGATCCTGCAGCTTTGGGTCTGCAGGTCAGGTCCCTTCATGTGC